ACAAACACACACACACACACACAACACACACACAACACACACACCCACGACACACACACACACACACACACACACGTGCACACAGAAACAAAGATGTGCATGCGAACAGTTGCAACCGGAGAGCGAAGGAGAGAAGGAAGAGTTCCATGACTCAGCATCTAAGCTTTCTTTTCTTCCTATAAATGCTAAACTTACGAACAGACATGAAGGGAATCTATTGCCAAATAAGGAACGAATAAAAAAGAAGAAAATCAGATCTCAAATTCAATTGTCTTTCGCTGATGAATACCTAATGAGATCTTGGGCGTGGGGCATGTAATGATGATATTGTAGGTAATGAGAATGTGGGATAACTGATGGCGATGTCTCATTTACTTTATCCTATTTAAGGGATATAAATGGGCGTCTCACGTTGGGGTGGGTGGGGGTGGGGTGGTGGGGGGTGGGGGGATGTTGTAGGTCACCCCCCCTACCCCCACCCCCATCCCCGGTCTATCCCGCTTGTAAGGGCACCTGCACCACACACACACACCACACACACACACAAACACCACACACACTCACGGACAACACACGCACGGGCAAACACACACAAACACGCACACACACCACAACGGGCAACACACACACACACACACACACACAAACAAACACACGCACACGCACACACACCGCATACACCACACACACACAAACACGTTCACACTCACACAAACACACACACACATTGAAATTATCCCCCCAACTGATATACTTCTCGACTTATCCGATATCATCCAACAAACATCCACAAACATCGAATAAATACCATCCAGCTATTCTTTATCCCGCAACCCTCGCAATAATCCCAAGAATCCCAAGAACGGACGAAACCCACAAGAAGACTGAATTAAGACTCGGTATAAAGTCCTTTTAATCCCGGGACTTTGATATCAGAGACGTGTCGCGTGTATACGACTTTGACACTTATTGACGCTTGCCATAAGTGCGCAGTGTGCTGGTTGCCATGGCACTCTCTCCTTGCAGACTCCTTCAAGATGATATATATTTTTTTTCTGATGCTGAGGATGCCTTCCTGAGCGTTCTTGCGTTACTTGTGTGTATTACTTTTTTTCTCTCTCTCTCTCTCGGTGCTTTCGGAAAAGGAATTCTGTTTATGCTTGGAATAGGGAAATCTCTTTAATATGTTTTTAGGCTTTGGAGTAAATTAATTCCTTTGAATAGATCTGTTTTTTTTCTCTTCCTTCAGTTGGTATTTCGCTTTTAGGTTTACTCTCTATTTCATTTTCGTGATTTCCAGAAGGGAAGTCATACGTCAAATTACTTTTTGTTTAGTTTCCCCTTCACAAGACGCGGTTTTCTTTCTCGCTAGACAGCTCCCCAACTTATATCTTCCTCGAGCTCCTTTCACTCTAGGGCCTTCCACCTCTTTCGCTGCTCTTTTTCTCTCCCTCTCTCCTTCTCTTTATCTCTCTCTCTCTCTCTCTCTGTTCACGTTTTTTCTTCTCTCTCTCTCCCTCTTTTATCTCTCTTTCTGTCTGTCACGTCTCTGTCTCTCTGCCTGTCTCTATCTCTCTCTTTCTCCCTTTCTCTCTCTCCTCCCCCTCTCTCTCTCTCCTCTCTCTCTCTTCTCTTCTCTCATCACTCTCTCCTCTCTCCACCCCCTCTTCTCTCGCTCTCTCTCCTCCCCTCTCTCTCTCTCGCTCTCTCTCTCCCTCGCTTCTCACCCCCTCTCTTCTCCCTTTTCATCCTCCACATCTTTTCATCCTCCCACCATTCCCTCCCTTCTCCTCCACACCTATATAAACCAGCTATTATTTGCCCTTCCTTTCCCTCTCCCTGTGGGCAGATTGGCTCCCGGGACAGTGAATTGTTCATTTCCCCAAAAGCTTCGTCTCTCTCGGGAAATGACATATGCAGAACTCCTATTCATCCTAATTGCCGAAAAAGTTCCAATGGAGGAACTTAAAAGGTTTGATATCGTGCTTGGAAATTTTTATGTATGAGTGATCAAGGCCTATCTCTCTCTCTCTCTCTCATTCTCTGCCTCTCTCTCTCTCTCTCTCTCTCCCTTCCCTCTCTCTCTCTCTCTCTCCTCTCTCTCTCCCTTCTCTCTTCTCTCTCTCTCTCTCTCTCCCCTCGTCCCCATCTCTCCTCTCTCTATTTCTCTCTCTCTCTCTCTCTCTCTCTCTCTCTCTCTCTCTCTCTCTCTCTCTCTCTCTCTCTCTCTCTCTCTCTTTCTCTCTATCTTCTTCTCTCTCTCTCCTCTCTCTCTCTCTCTCTCTCTCTCTCTCTCTCTCTCTCTCTCCTCTCTCTCTCTCTCTATTCACTGCTGTTATTTTTCCTCCCAACATTGGTTGCTCATTGAAAGAGAAATGGTTACTAGGTTCCAATGGAAGAACTTAAAAGGTTTTATATCGCGCTTGGAAATTTTATATATGAGTGACCAAGGCTTTAGAACTATTCAGATTGGAGGTGTGAGTGCGATGAAGAACCGAGGATATAGACATTTCAAGTGGCTTATAAAAAAAGGAAGAGCAGATACCTTACAGTCTCCCATATCCAGTTCACGGCCAGATAGTATTTCCTGCTCACATCCCTCCTTCGCTCTCCTCTCTTTTCCTTCGGGGTCCTCTCTCTCCTTACTCTCTCTCCTCTCTCTTGCTCTCTCTCTCTCTTACTTTTTGTTTCTCTCTCCTCTTCTCGCCTCTTCTCTCTCCTTACTTCTTTCTCTCTCTCTCTTTCTCGCCCTCCTCTCCTCTCCTCTTTTTCTTTTTCTCTCTCCTCTCTCGCTCTCCTTCCTTATCGTCCTCTCCCCCTCTCCTTTCTTCTTTCCTCCCTGCCTCCCTCGCTCGCCTCTCCCTCTCCCTACTCTAACTTCTACCTTCGCTCTCTTCCCCCTCTTCTTTTCTTTAACTCTCCCACCCTAACTCCTCTCTCTACTACTCCTCCCTCTCTCTCTTTCCCTCCCTCTCTTCCTTCCTCCTACCTCTCCTACTCCCCTCTCCTCTACCTCTCCTACTCACTCTCCCTCTCCGTCCAACCCCCTCCCTCCTCCCTCCTAAAGCCCTCCCTCCTCTCTCCTACCCCTCCCTCCCCTCCCCCTCCCTTCCTCCCTCTCTTCTATTTTTTTCCTCCCTCCCTTCCTCTTTTCCCTGCCTCCTCTTTTTCCCTCCCTGCCTCCTCCTTCTTCCCTCCTGCCTTCCTCCTCCCCTCCTCCCTCCCCTCCTCCTATCTTCCCTCCCTCTGCCTCATCCAGAAGCCAAATAGGACAGAGGGATGGAAAGGGGGCGGGGCTGCAAGTCTATCGAACACCAGCACGGCACAGCTTTCAATTCCTTCTCTGAGTGTAGTGTAAAGGGATTTAATCCTCTATTGGCGAGAGAGAGAATTACGAATTTGGAGATAAGCCGGCGGGTGCAGCGAAAGCCCTTCACGTTGCAGTCCAAATTGAGGATCAGAAATATAAAAAAAATGCCGATTAAGTATAAACGATATGACAGAATGTAATAAAATGTTACTATAAGGCGTAAAAATACACTTGTGACTGCACAATTCTTATAAGTTAGATAGAGGATAATAACAAAGGGCAAATGATAGATCTTCAACTGTCGGAAAAGATATAT